TCCCAAACCTTCAAATGTCTTTAATAATAATAAACATATTTAGAAATTATTATTGAAAGACATATATATATATATATATATATATATATATTAATTTATTCTTACCTGATGAAAAACTAAAGCACAAAATAAAGAGATAAACTCAGTCCCACTAGCAACTGACAATGCCATTCCAATTATTACTGAATGAAAGCAAATACCAAATTCTAAAACTAATACACCGATTGTTTGTGAACTATTAGTTAGCACAACTAAAGTCCCACTTGGTTGACTGATATTAGTGATCTCGTCATTTCCTTTAGGATCATAGTTATTTCTTGGAAGAATTTCTTTGTTTTTATCATCATATTCATCAGTATAATTTATGGCCAAATATTCTATGAAGAAAACTAATAACGCTGCCATCATAGAAATTGCACCTGGCCATGCATAATTATGCCAAATTTCTGGAAGACAGGCTTCGTTTAATGCTTCAAATGCTGTAGGAATCATCTAATGGAAAAACAAGATAAATTTTTTTTGAAAAGTCAATTAAATATTGGATTGATTTCTCCTTTGGCCATTACTTACATGAATAAAAGCAGTTGCAAGAATAACACCAGTACCAAAATGTTTTGTGGCTAAATATAATTGCAAAAATAACAATAACACATAGATTAATATTATATAATTACAATATATGAATGCTTATATTTTAACAATACTTACAGAAATAAACTAATTTTGGAACCTTCAAGTTGGGGTTTCTAGTAGATATAACTGGAATAAAAGCACCTGCCATTTAATGTGATATTAAATGTTAATAATTAATAATAATGTTATAATTAATATCAAGAGAAATTAATAATTAGTTATTTATTTTTACCTAATGAACTTGTTGCAAGTATTATAAAAAATGAAGCAATATGAAGACCTAGATTATATTCTTCAGCTATATAACTGCTATCACCGCAAGAAACAGAACCTTCATCTGTTGTGGTTGCATTTTGATCTGGATTGGGGTTGGTGTCGTTTACACCTAAAGGTATTAATATTAATATTATTATTTGGCAAAAGTTTTGAAAAAATAATAAATATATTATCTTATATATAAACGTAGCAATCATGTATACCTGGAGTTTGAGCATATGTAAAAGTAAGGAATGCATAAAGTACAAGTAACAAAATATTAGGATGAGACATATTCAATAAAATAAAAATTGTTCTTATATTTGATAAATATGAAAAGAAAAATTAAAATAATATTTTAAATGTGAAAAAAAAAAGAAATGGCTAACTAATGAGGTACCCATTTATCTATTATTAACACAAAATAATAAATACTATTACTATTAGGGTACTCAAAACATAGTAATTATTTATTGTTTATTTTAAAATTGTATACAGTATTATGACTTTTGATGTACTTATTTTATAGACGAATGAACTTTTTTATTTTAAAATATTAAAAATGTATGTAAAAAATAACTTGGAAGGTACATACAATGACTGATTTCAAATAACGATCAACGAGGTGCATATCTCGAGTTTTACAATAATATTTAACAATTAAAATATGTAATAACTAATTAATATCGATATAGATCTTTTTCCTATATAGAAATGTGCAGTGATTATCGGCATCATTTTTGTGTTACTTACCTTTTTAAAGTATCACAAATTAATTGAAAGGACATATAGGGTTTTAACTCGCATGTCCATAAATTGTATTCGTTTAAAAAGAATATAAAAACTGATTCATTTCGTCGACAATCATTTCGTCGACAATCACTTCATCGACAATCATTTCATCGACAATCATTTCGTCGAAAGTTCATTTCGTCGAAAAGTTCATTTCGTCGAAAATTATTTCGTCGACAATCATTTCGTCGAAAGTTCATT